TAGACGTTTTTAAAGCTACATTCACGTGTCACAAGTTTCCAAAGTGGTTAGTGAGACAGATTTTATTAGTTTTTATGCCATTTGAAGCCCCATTTGTGTCTACTCTCAGAATGAAACCAAGGACCTTTTGTTTATTAGGCAAGTGTGTAAACCCCTACACCTACACTATAGAGCCACAGACTGATGAAAACCTTTTCTACTCCACAACTCTCTAGTTTTCTGCTTGATTTAAATCAGTTACCATTTGTCTTTCAGTGCTGGTGTTTATGTATCTGTGGAGGAAGAGACGTGCCACAGAAATAACGTTTAAAGTTTCTTTCCTGTCTCTGCTGGCTGACTGACAGTCTTCACGGAGTTGCTGTACTAAAAGTTGATTTTTCCAGTTGTTATATATTTTTTGTATTTTCATATATTTTTCATGAGTCATATAAACATAAAACTAATTAAGGCTTTTCTTGAAATGTTGAATTATTTTGTTCAAGCACTATCCTATTAAAGATTTTTCTGATATCTGCTTTTGTGATAGTTCTCTGACTGAACCAATTGTTGGAATTGTATATTTCAGACAAAAATGTCTTAAACTTTTACATTGTATGTTAAACCTTTTGCATGTTTAGAACAATAAGAGTTATTGTAATAGATAGTATGTTACTTCTCTTTCTCTTAAGTGAAAGTCACATATGTACTTTTTGGCTCTAAAGCCATATAAAGCCTTTCTACATGCTATCTGTCTATTTGGAGATAGATGGAGTACTGGATTGGGCTCCCTTTTGGCCTCAGAACTGCTTTAATTCTTCATGATACAGATTCAACAAGATGCTGGAAACATTTCTCTGAGATTTTGCTCCATGATATCATTGCAAGGTTACTGCAGTGGAGAAGGGTTGGACATGGTCAGCATGAATACTGTGTTTAAAGGTTTTTAAACAATGCCAAGGTTTAAAGTTTGCCAAAGAAATGTTCCCAACACCATTACACTGTCTCCACCATCCCAAACCACTGATACAAGGCAGGATGGATGGATGCTTTCATGTTATTTACACTAAATTCAGAGTCTGAAACATGGAGTATTTTGACACAAGGACACACACATATACACCAAACACACAGAGAGGGACACACAGGACAAAGACACAAGGGGAACCCAAATGTGCAAGAAAGTAACATGGAATAAACTCGGGACTAACTAAATGAAGCATAAAAAATAAACCATAATCCACGGGGCGATCGTGGCTCATGAGTTGTCAGTTCGTTTTGTAATCTGAAGGTTGCCGGTTCCAGCCCCGGCTC